CATTTGCTGCTTAAAGTGCCTTAGATTTTGTGTTACTTATTTATCTACTTTATATTTCATTTGTATTTTGTGACATTCATGTGGACAGCAAAGTAAGAATTTCATTGTACAGGGAAACACGTTTCCTAACTGTGCATATGACAAATAAACACTTTGACCTTTGACCTAGGTGCTGCTGGCCCTTCAGATTGAGAAATAAAAACAAAATCTATTACCAAGGAGGTTTTTCTCATTAAGGAATGTGTCTCTGAGATGTGGTAGTCTAGTTTATTTATTTAAAAAAATAATCAATTTCTGTCTGGGGTAGAGTGTGGATACCGGAACCGAGCCTGACAAGACCCACTGGTACCCAGGGGTTCAGCTCGGGTTCGGACAGAAATTATAAATTATATTTGGGTCAGGTGCGAACACGTAGGTCAAACTTTTGACTAGACAGCTGGAGCACTGAAATGTCTATCATTTACTATTAACACCGTACAAGCTCCACTGTGTCTGCATCAGGCTCAGGTCGGGTTCGAACATTATCGACAGGTGCATCACAAAAAATTCTGAATATCGTTAGTTTTTTTTTTTGGTAATTTAACTCAAAAAATGAAACTCTCATATATTCTACATGTATTACCTGTAAAGTGAAATATTTATATTCATTATAGTGTGTGTACATGTGCATGCACACACTCAGTGAGTGAAGTACGAGAGGAACAGGATAAGGCTGAATCGTACCTGGTAATTTATTCTATACAACCACTGTGCAGCTGTTTGTCCTGGAAGAGAGATCCCTCCTCTGCAGCTTTTTATGAAGTTTCTTCCATTTTTTCCTGTTAAAGGACTTTTCTTTAACGGTTTCTAAACAGCGGACCCTACAAACATCCATCTAGCTACATTGGATGCACAAAGTTTATATACAAGCATTCCACATGGGGAGGCATTGAGGAGGTTAGACATACTGAACCAAAAAAAAAAAAAAAAAAAAAAACCCAGCGGGGCCTATCTTACAAATGCGATGGAACTGTAGTTGTTAAATTTATTTAAATAGAGATATGTCTTCAATCAGTGGTCATGATAAATCTATATAAACAGCACATCAATGGTATTTTGTTGTTGACTGATGAAAAGTTTCAGCAACATGCCAATGTTCGTGACAAACGTCTGAATTTCACCGGTCTGATGAGATGTGCATTAGTTCTCAGGATGACATGTGTATATATGAAACTAAAAGTGAACTACATACAGAACTGTGTTGCAACCCTATTGGAAAGAAGACCGTACTACACACCACAAATCTCTTATTAAAGGCTTGCAGATCAGTCAGTTTCATCAAACTGAGATTCTTCAGTACAAATCATCCCTTCCTTATTAGCCAATTATAACTGACAATATCTATAATAAGTCCAAAGAAGTTTGTAGTTGCAGTCATAATTATTTTTTGACTATAAAATGTTTATTTATTGTTGATATATTAACTCATTTTCTAAGCCCTCAAATGTTAAAATTGGAGTCAGCCTTAAAGATCCTGTATGACTCAAGCTCGAGTCCTTACCACTGAATTTGAGGTGATAGTCTCCTGCTGTGATCACATTGGTCACAGCACCCTCTTGTGGCTGGCAGGACAACACCACCTCATTGAGGAGCTGGCGCTGGGCAGGATTAAGGGCAGCAGATGTCGTGTTTGGGCTTGTCACTACATTGTTGACACAAATACGCAGGTTCTTCACAGCCTGCACCTGGTTGTTGGGGTCTCGGATGTGACCTAAAGAAGAAGACAAAAACACTTTGTTCAGTCATCCAGGACAGTAAATCAGTGCATTGAAGTCTCACAGTCTAAAAAACAGTCACAAAACGAGACTACATGTCTACAACTGTAAACAACCTGGAAAGTGTTAATGATACATAATACAGTTTGCACACACAGTTTGCACATGAATATTCTTTCCCTGGAGTGGATAATGCTAATAAGTCAGAACAGGATGTCAACATTAAAAGGTCAGTTGTTCCAGTTACTCAGGCAGAATTGTTATTTCTCGTCTTCTTTCACTTCTCCAGTCCTTGCACAAAACGCTGAACCCTTAGTAATGATGTCACCAGTGTGTGAATATGTCAGCAAATGGGAAACAGTGCAAAGCGTTTTGAGTGCATCTCAATGCACAGAAAAGTGCAATATAAGTAGAAGACCATTTACCATTTCTGTTGAGGAGGTGAGAGGTACTGTATGTATAAATGTGGACATCAGAGGAAGGACCAGACAACCCGAGTGCTTTTTTTCTGAAGACATCTGCAGTTGAACTTGTGCCAGTGTGGCAGCCAATTTTTAAAGATCCTTAGAAACTTGCACAATTCCAGAAACATCAAAGTATCTCATACCGCTTCCAAAGAAAGCTGGTCCTAAAGAACCCAGTGATTACCACCCAACAGCACCGTTTGCATACAAACAAAATCATAGCACAGAATATGCTGTAGTGACAATGATACACTTTCTATTAAAGCATTTAGATGAGATAAAAACAGCAGCCGTCCCTGGTAGGATAGTGGTTAAGGCACAGCACTCTCGCCGCTGCAGCCCGGGTTCGAATCAAGGTTGCGTCAGGAAGGGTATCCAACGTAAAACATGTGCCAAATGTCAACATGCGAGTCGTGAGTGTAACGATTCGCTGTGGCGACCCCTAAACGGGAAAAGCCGAAAGTGACTTTCTTTAGATGAGCCAAAAACAGTATCTAGGGTTCTCTTCTTGGACTTTACATCAGAATTCAATAAAATTCATTCAAAGCTCCAGTTGGCAAAAATAATGCAAGTAGAGGTTAATACTCATCTTATTTTGTGGTACCATTCATTTCTGACAAACAGGAGTTCCCCAGGGTTGTGTGGGCTACATTTTACACAGATCACTGTAAAACCAATATTCCAAATACATTTATCTTGAAGTTCTCGGACGACACTACATCGTTGTCTTTGTTAGGTTCTGATGGTCAGCCTGGGATTCAAATGGTGTGATCAACCCAAAAAAAGATTAACACAAGTCAACTCTCAGTAGCCCTCAGTCCTGTTATTCAGATTATTACTTGACTGTACTGCAGCTGTCTTTCCATTTTGTCTTATATGTTAAATGTTTGTTATACGTTGTTTTGTTTGTTGAGGTTATGTATAGTAAGTGTTTTATTGTTCGTAATCTGTGTCTTGGGATGCAGAAGTATATTTCGACAATAAAGTCTAATCCAGTCATGGGCTGTGCATCCACAATAATATTTCAATTGCTGTTTTAGCAACGTGCCAGCTGGCATTATCGAGTACGTCACTCACTTTACAAAATTGTAGGATAGACTACTGTGCATGCAGCATGTATAGTGTAGCAGCATAAAAACGCATTTATGAAGTTAAAGACGGGTGAACAGACAGCACCAGGAGATAAAATACAGACACAAAACGTATCTGTACATGAATCTAATGTTAACTTTATGGAAATTCTTAGAAAATATCACAATTCTAAAGATTTCCTGAGAATTTGATCACTAGGAGTGACTTTCTGGACTTAGGATGCTGGCCTACTTGTGGTTCCTAGAGTCCACAGAAGCAGAACGGGAGACAGAGCCTTTAGATATCAAGCTCCCCTACTGTGGAACAGACACCCTCTCTATTTTTAAGATGAGTCTTAAAACTTTACTTTTTGATAAATCTTATAGTTAGAGCTGGATCAAGTGACCCTGAACTATCCCTTAATTATGCTGCTCCTCCCACGATGCACTGCTCACCTCACTTCTTCTCCTCATCCCTCCTAACCCTCCCCGCATTTACATGCCACCATTGCATGTCATTAATTTGGTATAAACTTTAACATTTGAGATAGAAGTGTTTACATTGTCATACATACAAAAAGCTGGATAAAACATATTTCCTACATTGCAGTAGGAGTTTTGTTTAAAATGTCACACTCACACTTATTGTTGTGTGTGTCCTTTTTAATCCAGAATACTTCCATAGCCATGATTTGTTTCTGATGGGAGAGTTTATCTTCTCTCTGGTGCATTTAACAAAGCATAGTCTCCACAGACTGTTTGTCCGATCAATGCCCTGCTGACAGACAACAGGTGTTCTGACGACAGTGACGTTGCATGGAGGTCAGAGTCAGTGTGGACTGAACGGATCAAATGCTGCTCAAGTCTCACTTCTAGTGTAAATTCCTAGTCTCAGATTGCTAGCTGCACCGCCTGACGCTTGTTGTCCAGTTTGAAGAGAACAGTGCTTCACTGGAAATGTGCACATACAGTACGTGGCTGCCTGTTAAAATAAAGGTACACATAAAATTGACATTTACATTTCACACCAATGTCATCAGATCCCAGGGTGTTTGGAGAGATCCGGGTTAATGGATCGTTACTCCCCTGTGATTGACAGCTTTGACTGGTGGTCTAATGCTGTCACTCCATTTCTGGTCACTACTGAGGAGAATATGGTTGCAAAAAAGCAAGATGGCAGCCGCCGTATTCATGATTTTTGGCTTAACTTTTACATATAGGAGGGAAGTGGAGATGCCACGTTCATTGTATATACAGTCAATGACCTGAACTAGTGAAATCTATGGAGGAATCCAGTAACTTTAAAAGCAAATGTGAGATCCTAGGTACTGGTAAAGAGTTAACAGGTGACTGAAAGAAACCTGAAGTGAATTTAATGGGTAATACCTGATGAACTATGAAGTAAATTACCTGAATTTAGAAAGCAGAATTAGACATTATCTAGTTAGATGGAATATAATACCCAACTCAATTTTCTGCATAGCTGATACCATTAAAATGATGGTTAAGCCACAGTTCCTCTTCCTCTGCCAGGTCTTAAATCCAAATTACACAACAAGGTTTAAAAGATGGAACTGAATGATAATTAACCTTTGGAACAAAAAAGACAAAGGAAAAAATTTAAGCATAACTTAATGTATACAAATTAGAAATTCTATGCAAGAGGAGCATCCTCTAACATTATTCATGATCAAATCTTTTAGACCTATTAGCTTGTTTTTAATTCATTTAGCTGGAGAGGGTCTGGGCAGCCGATGCCTATGAAGCACCAAGCTGATCTGATGTTTGCTTTCAGTAGGCTTGCCTAGTAGCACTTCATTAAATCGGGGTCGAGAATAAGATGGGGTCTGTTTCTGCTACTCTCTCTGCAGACTGTGGATGCTGTTAGAAACTGTCCGTGTTGCCACCGTAATATCTAGTCTATGTTCCAGTCGGGGTGTAGCTCATCTCGAACAACCCCAGGCTGTTACGCTACGTCTTGGCCTCACTATCCCGTGTCGGCTGCAGCTACAACCCTTTAGCTAATTAACATGCTTCTTCAATTCATGCTTGTTCGGTCGGATATTCCAGGTTCCCCTCGGTTAGGTGTCACTCGGCCCTCTCAGGTTTCAACTCTGGACTTTGTCTCCCCTCCACTCAACGCTTAGTCACAATCCAGTCTGCTGTATGTTAGCGCGGAGCTACTGTCAAGTGTAGCCCACCCCAGGCTAAAGATGCTAGCGCCCGTACTAAAGCTCAAGCGGTTACAGCTTAGACAGTGACAGTCGAGGGTGATGCTGTGTTCTAATGTTATACATTCGCTCTTACCTTCGGACGTTAGTCTGCAGAAAGGCCTCAACAGCTCAGCGAAATTCAGGTTGTTCTTACGAGTCACTGTCTCCGCTTCTTCACTGCATAAGACGGCCACCATTGGGACAAACGAGTCCTGGACAAACTCCTGCACAGACTGAACACATTTGGCCATGTCGGACCAGGATCAAAACCAGCTAACTCACTGAACTGAATATACTTTTATAAAATGTATTTCATTGCCGGACACAAATCCTCCTCTTTTTGCAAGGAACAGCCATGTTGAATTCACCAACCCACTTCCTGTGTAGAGCTGACAGTCAGGTGACGCCTCAACAAATACTTCCTTTTCCGTTTCTTCGGTTTGATAACCTGACATCATCTCTGAGTTAACTAACCATAGTAGTAGTAGGCCGATCTGGTTCTGTAGACAAAGTTACTGCCTTGTATGTCTGTAAATATGATGTTAAATAAAGGGGGGAAAAAAAACTTCGACACCTAAAAAAAATAGCTGGCTGATCTGATCCACTCTCCAGTCCAGAAGGTGGCGGTAATGCACCTAAAGCTATTTGCCAACCGTCATTAACAACAGAAGAAGAATGCGGAGCTCGGAGTTTTTAATAGATAACTGAGGACCAATAACATTATTAAACATGGACTATAAAAGTAGTAGGCTAGTTCAAGTTTTTTTTTCAGGTGAGTAAAACTGCGCAAATTATTAATGAAACTGGTTTTATGGGTAATTGACACACAAGTTGTAATATTAGACATATGCTTGATTTACCTAATTATTCAGAATATATAGAGTCAAAAGCATTAGTTTGTTTCTGGATATTTATAAAGCATCACTTTTTATTTAGATCTCTTCAAATGTTTGTTTTTGATAATAAAACTAAAGGATATAAAGGATATATATGTGGATTCTAAGTCCATAATAGGCAGAATTCTTTTAAATCAAGCAGCTGGTATACCAAGATTTGTTTCAACAGTCTACTTGTAAAGATCTACAATTCTGTTTTGAGATCTCTGCCCATACATTTCCACCAGGACAAGAGGCGTCGATCCACAGGTGAGGGTTCAAAGACAGGTAATGACGCTCAACAATACTGGGCTATAACGACTCGGTCATTAGGGGACATTGTTGGCCATCAAAAGACTGAAACACCACCAATGGGGATAAATATCTCAGACTCAACGCCAGTCGGGCAGAACTGATGAAGCCTCTTGGATGAGAAGTGAAACATCTTTGACCTAAAACCAAGTCCAGTTTTTTCTACTTTTTTTCCAGCTTACCTGGATGACTGAGAATCTGCATGGACAAAGAAACAAAAGAAAGGCCCCACAACTTGTATACCAGCAGTGAATAAAAACCAATACATGCACAAAAACTCTTGGACTCAAACACTAAGCAGTGAATATTAAGGTCCACAATATGCGCTGCCTGACACTGTTCAACAGCAAAGAGCATATCTTATTCATTGATTACCAAATAAAAATTCAGTTTCATGTTCAGCTATTGCCAGGACCATAATGTCCCGGTACACTGTGCCTCTAGAGATGTAGTGTTCTTATCTACAGCCTCCTAAATGCCAGTGTTGTACATTTGCTCCTCATATTGATTTGCTTCTGCTACCTGAACAGTTGGTGGAAAAAAGTTACCGGCAAATAAACACGACAGCAATAACTGATGCGTCTCTGCTAATGTCCTGCAGTTGTAAAACCTCAGGTGCAATCAGCTGTAGTGACAATCACTGTCGGGTCTACCTTTATTTATACATAGCTTTCAAATCATTTATCACTTTCTGAGCTGCACTTGCTCATACATTGCTCCTATTTGCTGCTGGACTACTGTAACTCTTTACTA